GTGTACGAAATTTTAAGTACATTGTTCTCATATATCTCTCTCTCTTCCTTTCTTGCCAATAATTCCTATATGTACATTAAGTTTCTCGATATATGAGAACAATGTACTTAAAATTTCGTACACTTTAGGTATCTCGATCTGAGATCGGTGTACAATTTAACTGTCTCTTGTGGACTAATTTATTAATTTCTTTAAGAAAAATTAAAAATTTAGCACTAACATCCTGCGACGGCTCTTAATGCTCTTCTATTATAAGTAGTGATAGAGTTAGTGAGTTGATAGTCCTACGCTGTGATAGACACAGTCGACACGCGTAAGAACGCGCATAAACAAGTGAATCTATTGTAACCACACAATATACAATATATCCCACACAGCACAAAACACCTTATGACATCTTAGGGATATCTCAATGACCTGAGGTAATCCTATATTAAAATATATATTGTGTCTGCTTGTTATTAATTCCTACATAAATTGGGGGCTCGTCCGCGATGTAGCCAGACCTCCTGCAGAGAGCCACGAGAGCCTGAAGACGGTTACGACAACTTACGACGAATACGACGATTAACAACGCTGTGAATCAAAAAACAAAAAGAAGCTGGTTGTGCCTAAGATAACAAGGTACGCCAGAAACGACGAAAACGCCAGTTGATCACAACAAAAGGTTCCGAAAAACCTATAACTGCCATTTTTGCGAAAAGACGTGTGCGCGACTGCAAACACCAGCCATTGTTTAGTGATAACAAGACAGGACGACGATCGCTTACATACGATATAAACTATAATCAGGAAGTACTGGAAACGCTTGGACAAATCAAGCCAGTGGCTGAGAAAATACGAACATTGTCACGCCTAGCTATATACACGCTTTATCGGCTCGTGTTCGAAAAGGATGGTGACCGCACTAGTCGTAAACAGTTGCGTAATTTCCACGGTTTTGACTTTGACGACGCATCGGATAGAATTCCAACAAAACTTGAGTATTCCGCTGCTTTTTCGATAGGTGATTTGACATGTGCAATATTCTGGGCTTAGACTACGCCGGCATCAAGGAGGAGTTGCGACAGAAAATTATACGGCGCTAATGAACATCCAATCGCTAGCGTTACGCGAAGACGACGATGATGCTAAGGCCGAGGATGAATTTGACGAATCAGAAGTGCCAGAAGAGCCGCAACAACGACTATAAGAAAGAATCGAGCGAATTGGTGATGTAGGCAGTCGACGAACGAACGACGATATTTCTTCGCTTAGCGGCAATGATTCCGAGGACAGCGACCAAAACATATCGAGACATAGAAGGCGAAAAATAGCCCAAAAATCACCTTTAACTTTAAAGATGCAGAGGACACTATTCGTGCATTCGATGGGAGCAATCACTATCCTATCGAAAAGTGGATTTTAGATTTCGAGGAGTTGGCAGCTTTGTTTGAGTGGAATAATATGCAAAAGTTAGTGTTCGCCCGCAAGTCTCTCAAGGGTGTTGCCAAAGTATTTGTGCGTGGGCTGAGTGTCACGCAGTCCTGGGAAAAATTGAAAGATGCCCTCGAAAGAGAATTCCAGTCGCATTTCGAGCAGGATCGTAACCAACTGAGACTTGAAGCTAAGAATCAGATTCTAAAAGTAGATAACAAAAATCGTAAGATCTACAATTTAGGCGCGAAGCGACTGAGTACAAAATTAACGATTTAGTTGCGATTAAGACAGTACAGATGGGACCTGGCAAAAAGCTTTGTGCCAAATATCTTGGTCCTTATAAGGTTGTAAAGGTTAAATCAAACAACTCTTATGATGTTAAAATTATATTAAAAATATTTTATAGAAACATAGGGGTATAAAATTACTAATTCACTTATTATATACGGTTTAATATACAGGTCACCCAGATCTACCTCAACGTATGGGAGTGATTGACAATTGCGAGAAATTCGATGCAGATTATTTCAAAATACCCTTCAAAGAAGTCCATGTCATGGATCCTATGAGTAGGTTGCTCAGTTGCTGGAGCATACGTATGAAGCTATCGTTGATGCAGGAATAAATCCGAAAGATTTATCTGGAACAAATACTGGAATTTTTATCGCAATGTGTTTTTCGGAGTCGGAGAAGACTTGGTTTTATGAAAAAACAAAGGTACGAAAAATTACTCGATCAAGCAAGAATATTGCACAAACTTATAACATAAAAATTTTGATAAATAACATTTTTATATCATATTGTAAAAAATGTACTTGTTGGTAAATCAGCTCGTACAATGCTTATGCAATGAACATTTAAATTCTCTAAACAATATATGTACACACATTAGATAGCTGGCGATGCAGCTTTTGGATGTTTCAAGCCTCTGTACGCAAATCGGATATCTCACTGGTTAAATATAACAGGACCATCTTACATAATCGATTCCGCCTGTAGCTCAAGTCTCTTCGCTTTAGAGTCCGCTTATAGAAGTATCCGGTCAGGGCAGTGTGACGCCGCTATTGTCGGCGGTCTAATCTCTGCCTGCATCCTTATGTAGCTTTGCAGTTTGCGAGACTCGGTATTATACTTATTGAAATATTAATTTAGAATATAGGAGATAATCAAAAAATATAAAAATTATTATAATCTAAATAATTTGGGACATGTGTAAATATATTTCTAAATTAGATTTTATAACATAATTATACAATTTCAGGAATTTTAGCACCTGACGGATTTTGCAAACCTTTTACCGACGATGCAAACGGATACATGCGTAGCGAGACAATCGCAGTCGCATTTTTACAAACAGCAAAGGTGGCTAAGAGAATTTATGCAACCGTCGTCTACGGAAAAACTAATTGCAACGGATACAAGGAACAAGGCATTTCCTTCCTGTTGTTAGAAATATCTAAACTAAAGAATAAAAATTTAAAATAATAACTTATAGCTCTGTTTTTGTAATTTAGCAAAGACGGGATTAAGAAATGAGACACAGTT